CAAAGAGAAGAAGGTTTACGTGGCCAATGCTTATACCGCAGCTAAAACACAGAGCCGGAGCATTGTTATCACGTGAGAGAAAGGGTTATCTCTGCCCTAGCAACGGCTTCATTTATTCGTGATGGTGGAAAGCACATGTTCCGTATAAAAATTACTATTTTCCCTTTACATAAGAGTAATGAAGGGTTTGATTTAATTTTAAAGGAATTTGTCGTCTATATAGCAAATGAAGCGTAAACTGAAAAGCTAGGAGGTACTGCACGGCTGTTTTTTCTTTTCTTTGACTCGCTTTCGTAATTATTTCTATACAGTTTTGATTTCCGAATTTTTGGGCCGGAAAATATCAGTTTACACCATCGGACATAGTTTACTCTGATGTTGCATTCTTTCAGAACCCTGTATTTTCGAGCTAATTTTCATGATCATGGATGGCCGGTCCCGAAACTGCATATCAACAGAAGAGTTGCCCACAACTATCGCCTTTTGGGTTAAACCAAGTATACAACCTCATCTGAGAGCCTGTCTTCCGTATTTGCACTGGTTGGGTTCCCAGATTACACTACTTACGCAGGGCGTTATTCCAGTTCTCTTGGGCATGGCGCAGGGTACCACAGTTTAGGCGTATTCGTGTTGTACTCACTCGTTCACTGGGTCGTTACGATTTCCGCTTGTGTTTTTTCCTATCACGCGTTTCGATTGACTCACGGTTCGAGCTAGTCCGGTCGTGTCATAACAACAGTTCGTTTAATGCCTCTGCTTACTTCCGAACCAGTCATGGTTCAAATGATGAAAACCAGCTAGATGTTCCTGATAGACCTTATAGCATAGCACACCGCAACAGACCCCCTCCAATTTACAATGCCAATAGAATTATTCCATCCATGCACACCAGTCCTTCAGGTCTACAGAATTTCTCCTTTTAATTTACCATGTGTACATGAAACCTTGATTCATTGCTACGATATTACCTCATTGGATTCCACGCCAGCGTGGTACAGTGAATGTTACAGGTCGCGTCGAGCACTGAAACCACGTATGAAAGCTTTAAACCGGGAGAGGCAAATTCTTGTTTTAAGAGAGATGAGAATAAAAAAGAAATACTTCCCGGGAATCAAAATGACTTTCTGCTTGTCACAGAAGGTCGGCCATTACCAGAGATAGGGTGACATGCGCGGAATGTGAGGTCGTCTAATTGCACACTGCTTTGTACTCTGGGAGTTATGAGTACAACTATCGGTATTTAGACAGACTGGGGATGAGTGAGGTTCTCATTGTTTTAACAATAGTGTGCAAATAACAATGTATAGGTGATCAACGAAAGCGTACTACAACAGTGGAATGTCGTGTCTGAATACCGATGAAGAGCACGGGACACCTGTTTTGTCCTCGGTGAAACACATCAGTGGTGCGCACTACGATCTTGTCCCTGGCGGGATCCGTCATACTCCGAGTTAAAAATTAAAACTTTTAGTCTTGAGGTACAAAGTCGACGGGCACACATTGAGCGGATGGCTATACGAATTAAACACATTGCTTGTGTCGTTCACGCTAATCTGCATACCTTAGGATTGAGCGGTCACCCAACATGAATTTTAATTACAACTAACTTGCATTCGTATGCGGGGAATCAATGAACCCCGTGGAGTGAGAGACACACAAACGAGGACATAACAGATGACCAGTAGGGTCCTCAAAATCAAATAGACAATATACAGGAAAATGTTTCATGTACAACAACATAAATTCTATTCACATTCCAATCTAATGAAGTCACTCATTTGTTCTCTCAGTTGGCGGTGTCTAAAACTGCATATCGTTCGAATAAGGTAGATTTACTTGAAAGTAAAGTGTATGCTAAAATAATAGGCCTTTGTAGATTACAAAAGACAATAATATTCACCCTGGTGATAAAATAATATCTCAGCGAATCACCACTTATGGGAACAGTTGTAAGTGGTTAACGGAAGTTCACTCATAACCGAAATCTATACACTTATGGGATGATCTGTTCACATTAGTAAAGTCTACCAGTCAGAATTTCTTCATGCTTTGGAACTTCGAATATCAGTAGCTTTGCTCAGATTTGCGCTGTTTCATTGCAAATATTTTCGTAGCTATCTATTTCACTCCTATTTCTGATATCCAGGTCAGGCTTTTTGACCAGAGTGGAGTTACTGTCTAACAGGGAAAGCACTATCAGCTTAGAATATACCAAAATCACACTTTGTTAATGGGAATTTGACTGACGCCGGGAAAGCAGAAAATGAACGTATTCTTTAGGTCGATGAGAGTACAACCGAGCATAAACGAGCGGGAACCATTTGTACGGAGAACTAAACCTTTTCCCATCAAGCTTTAGCCAAAGCCCACAATCCTTTAGCCTCGACCCGCAATCCTTTAGCCAAAGCCCACAGTTCTTTAGCCTTGACCTACATTCCTTTAGGCAAAACCCACAAGTCTTAAGTGTGCAATAAGTGTTATTTAACTGGTTCTACTCCGAACTTTATCTTCACACGCAATCCTCCGTCAATCCACTTAGTCTTCCACTTGATACTCCCGCGACACGACTGTTACTGACGTTGGAGCTCGAATCCACAACGGGCCGATGAATATGCGGATAATTTAAGAGCCAAGGGTTTTGCTTGAAGATATGTATAATCTGAATAAATGGTCCGTCAAAATATATCACTAGAAGCACCCTCTACTTATGGTAGATAAAGTTATACATTTTTTAATGAAACTCCTGGATTATTACGGGAGGCTTCCAACAATATATTATCTTATGAAAATCTCATGAACAAAG